TGGAGCCTGCTTTGATTCTGTGACTCCCTCTCTCTCTGCCCCTCGCCTGCTCACACTCTGTCTCTTCTCTCTCTCTCAAAAATAAACATAAAAAAAATAAAGAAAAAAAATTGAACGAAAAGGACTTCATTCCTAGTGACCTGAAAGTGTTAGCTTCCTGCAAAAGGCAGACAAGTTGACTGCTGCAGAATTGTCTGGGATGAATTTGTGCCTCTCAAAGGTATTCATCCAGTGGTTTGATGTACTCTCACAGTTTCTCATCATTTTGATGGAAATCCGTCTATATTAAAAACCTTGGTTTTCATCTCTCACATCTAATTTTTACATGGAATCTTAAGAGACTAGTAAAAGATCCAAACCAGAAAAGGGAGCACCTGAGATGTTTCCATGCTGGCTGCGGTGTCACTGAGGAACAAGGGGGCTGAGGGTCGGGCCATGTGCTGTGAGCACATGACAGGAGCCTGAGCAGCCAGAACTCGACACAGTTCACCTGTCCGTCAGCCCAAACCAGCCTGCGTGTTCCCCCATGTGGAGGATGGATCTGCCACGAACCCTTGTCAAATGAGGCCATATAGAAATGCAGATAAATAGCGTTCCCTACTTTTCAGGTCCTGTGTGACTTGAATTCCCACATGGGGTGAGGAACAGATCGGGATGAGTGACAAGACCCTGCAGAGACAATTCCAGAAAATAAGCGGTACAGTCCACGTGTGTTGGGAACGTCTCCCTCCCACAGGCCTTTCCAGGACTTGGTGCTTAGCTTCAGACATTGGCTGTTCATGTCACAGGTGGGGAGAGTGTGGACGCCTTGAGGAACATCTGAGAGGCGCTGTCTGCGAGGGGAAGGGGGTGATTAAGGGACCCTCTGTGGTGTACTCTCTAGAGCTTCCAGGGTGAATGCAGTGTCCTCAGCGGTTGTCCGAGTATGGGGTAGAGTCTCTACTTGGTGATGTTCTTTCCGCCAAAAGTGCAGGAAAACGAAATAGCAAATGCAGGGCTCAGGTGTAGCCGGATGCATCGAAAACAGAACCGGTGATGGGCAGTCTAGAGTTTTTACACTGCGTAAATGTGTGGTGCACATCATACCAAGGACTGGCATTTCCATCCGTAAATGGATTGAGTTGAGTTAGAAGCTTCCTGTGGCGAATTGTTAAACAAGGCAACCCAGTTGTGACAAGATTTATAACAGCTGGTTTGCTGGGTTTCCACATTGGTTGTCATGAGGAAGGATGGTGAGTGGAGTGGTAAAAAAAGGAAAAAAGACTTCAGAAAGAAAAGAGTGTGAAAGATGCTTCATCCAGGAAAAACGATACTTAATTGGTATATAGGTGCGTGCCTAGAGAGAGGTGTGATACAGACAGCTATAAAAACGTCACCAGAGTTGATTTCATGGTATTGGGCTCTCACGTGACTTTTACATTCCTGCTTAAATCTCCTCTGATTATTTTGTGGTGAGCATTTAAATTTTTATATTTATAAAAGAAACCCAGTCATACTGAGGAAATGGTCTCTGGTATTTAAAGGCATTCAGGGGGCGCCTGGGTGGCGCAGTCGGTTAAGCGTCCGACTTCAGCCAGGTCACGATCTCGCGGTCCGTGAGTTCGAGCCCCGCGTCAGGCTCTGGGCTGATGGCTCAGAGCCTGGAGCCTGTTTCCGATTCTGTGTCTCCCTCTCTCTCTGCTCCTCCCCCGTTCATGCTCTGTCTCTCTCTGTCCCAAAAATAAATAAACGTTGAAAAAAAAAAATTTAAATAAAGGCATTCAGGTTCAGGACGCCTGGGTGGCTCATTCGGTGAAGCGTCCAACTTTGGCTCTGGTCATGATCTTCATGGTTTGTGAGTTCGAGCCCCACATTAGCCTCTCTGCTGTCAGCTTGGAGCCTGCTTCAGATCTTCTGCCCTCCTCTCTCTCTCTCTTTCTCTCTCTCTCTCTGTCCCCCTCCCCACTTCAAAAATAAACATTACAAAAAAAAAAAAAAAAAAAAAAAAAAAAAAAAAAGGCACTCAGATTCCAGACCTTTGGGTGGAAGGAGTACAAGCAGAGAATGTGGGAGAGGCACCTCTCACTGTGGCTGGAGGGTAGGGGGGTGGTGGTACTTATGAGAAACCAAGTCCAACTCCCAAAGGAGACTGAGGAAAGATCCTCTGGGCCTTGTGGGCAGAGCGACCTGGGTGTGTGTCTTGGGAGTGTGCCTTACTTCTGACCTTGACCTTGGCCATGTGACCTTAGTCACAGACCGTATCTGTGCCCCGAGAATTTCCGCTCTGTCACCTGAGAAGCATAATATTGGATCATTGTGCCTAATACATGATAGACACTCAAACATTTTTCAAACAAATGAAGGATGAATGAATGCATGCATGCTTGATTCACTGAAGTGACCTGGGTAAAGTCTGATCTATGTGGTACATAATAAACAGCATTTTTCTTCTCCTGGTTCTCGTGTTCTTTTCCTTAGCCAGTATACCTGGGGAGTGAATTCTGTAGAGTCTTCTTGCAGCCTGAGTTCTGTGTTCCGTAGTATGGTCTTATGTGGAGGTAGGTGTGGGCTTAGCTGCTTCTCCTCTTTATGCCTCAGTTTCCTCGTGTGTGAAATGAGCATTGTGACAACACATTGGAAGCGTTAGATGATAAAGACTTCACATGATGCCTGGCAAATACTAAATGTTTGTTGCATGTAGCAGTTAATAAAAATAATGAGTATTCCCTAGGTTGAGTACATGGTGTTTAGTACATGCTTCTATAAATGGAGAGAATATTACCTAGTGCCTGATACAGAATAGAGCACAACACACGTCAGCATCTTGACTTTGTGGGAACTGGAACCAGTTAGTACTGATTTTCATTATGAGTGAATGGTTTTTGAAGGGATTCTTCAAATGTGCCCTATGTGGTGTAGTCTTCTCCAGTGGTGATCGCTAAAACAGAAAAATGTAATAATATTTATAAGATGCACCTTGTGTGTTTTTCTTTACACACTTTCCCCCTCCCCCCAACTTCGGTCTATATTACCATTTTTTAAAAACGTATTTTTTAACATTCTTGTACCTGCAGAGAAAACGAGGTGCTCAAAGTCCAACTGAAGAAATATGTAGGAGCTGTCCAGATGCTGAAAAGAGAAGGTCAAACAGCTGAAGGTGAGGAGGAGACTGAGCTTGGGTGGGGAGCGGGCCAAGCTTTTTAATCTTTATAGCCTCTGTGCCTGGCACACAGTAGGCACTCAACATGTGATGACTGCATATGCAGGTGAATCACAAACACAGTACTGGTCAGGATTCTAGAAAACTAATCAGATGGAACATCCTGTTGTGTTTTCTTGCTGAATCCGGTAAGACATCCTTGCTAGATCACTAGCAACAATTGTATCTGTTTGTATACTTAAGGAATTTTATATGTTTCGGGTCTTGAGATAATTGCCAGATAGCAAACCTTATAGAATGATTAAGTCCCATCAGGCTAGTGGTGAAAGCAACAGAACCCCAAAGTGGTGGAGAATCAGATCTGTGGAGTTAGGCTGACCAGGCTCTAGCTCCAATTCTGGCTTTGTTTTGTTTTGTTTTCAAGCTCTCTGTATGATAATTTCTTCATTGGTAGAATAGGGTTAGTTGACAGTCCCTACCTCATGAGGTAGGTACATAGACATCTTAGCATATTGCCTACTATAGGCTAAGTACCGAGTAAATTGTAGCTAGTCAGAAATAAAAGGGGATAGAAAAATGATCTCTTGACCAAGATTTCACTAAATGAGGTGATACCCTATGCTTCCTGTCTGCATTTTGGCTACAGTTGAACTGTCATGAGTCAACCAGAACATTTCTCAGTTCAGCAGGAAGAAAGGGTGTTTAACTTTGGCTGAAACGTCCTGCAGCCTTTCAGCCAACTTAGCATTAAAAGACTGTCTTACATGCAAGTGAGCTCTTGGAGTGTAGACATTTTAACAAAAGGGTAGACCCTCCGGCCTCCCAGGTCTTGGGTGTCAGCCAGACCTACACTTGAAGCCAGGCTCAGCCAGTATAACTTGATGTCTTGGAATTATTTTGCCATGTATAAGTGGAAACATCCCACCAACATCACAGAAGTTGTTGTGGGGTTTTCCTGAAACAATGAACGTGAAGAAGTTTCCATTATTGCACCTGGCATGTAATTAGTGTTCGGTAAATGGTAGTTATTTTTCTTTGTTACAGAGGGAGACAGGATTGGAATCGGGATGTGGTTTGTATATTAATAACAGAAAGGCTTGAGTTTTGTTTAAAGCTTTTGTGTTTATTACGGTCTCTGTTTGATCGGCCTCAATGTGTGTGTGTTTTTCTTTTTTCCTCTGATCACATGCCTCGCTTCATTTCCAGTTGGTCTGTGCCTGTTAGCAGTCTAGGGGGTTATCACTACAGAGTCAGTTGAGGCCTCCTCACCTTGTCAAGGGCTCATCACCTTCTCAAACAGATACTGCTGTTACAGCCCTGCATTCATTTCACCTCGTGCAGTTAGGTGTGTGTGGGTCTTTTACTTTTCGCTCCCCATCTTTGTGTCCCCAGCACCTAGCTTTGTAGCTGCCTGGCCCACCCATGACGTGTCTCAATGAGTAGTATTTGTCTGTCCTTTACCATTTCCAGGCAGCTTCAAGTCCTTTTTCATTTGACTCCATCACCCTGTGAGGAGTGGGTATTTTTGCTCTACTTTAAAAAGTTCCTTATTTGAGGCTCAGGAGAGCTTAAGGGGCTTGTATGTGATTCTCAGGTGGAAATGAACTCAGGGCATTTTCTCCAAATCCCTGGTTCTTTGCTTATAGGGTTCTTTGTTTTAAAATTTTTTTAAGATTTATTTATTTTTGAGAGAGAGACAGAGCACAAGCAGAGGAGAGGCAAAGGGAGAGGGAGAAAGAATCCCAAGCAGGCTCCAGGCTCCAAGTTGTCAGCACAGAGCCCGATGAGGGGCTTGAACCCATGAACCGTGAGACCATGACTTGAGCCAAATTCATACGCTTAACCGACTGAGCCACCCAGGCGCCCCTGCCTTGCAGAGTTCTTAAACTCTTGTGTGCAAAGGGAAGTACCTGAGGAACTTGGTAACTATGCCGCTTCTCAGGCGAGAAGAGGGCTCCTCCTTTCAGGAGCTGTTGCATTGGATCTCGGATGGACCGCACGTTTGCTTGTCTAGATACGTGACTCTTACGCCCGTGATGTGTAGTCTGCACCCCACTGCCTTTGGAGATATCTGTACTCTGCCTGCTCAGAACTTTGACTTGGTGCAGTAAGAAAATTAAACCTAGGAAAAAAGGACCCCTGCTGGGCTTGTGTTGGATTTAAAAACCTCAACGCTGTAAAATGCATTTTGGCGTGTGAGCACTTCGGGAGTCTTCCTCCGGCAAATGGGTCCATGGAACCTGCAGTGTGCAGCATAGTTTTTTGTTGTTGTTGTTCGTTTGCAGCTGAAGTTCCCTGTCCTAAGACATAGGCTGAGAGTTCTGAGCCAGAGCAGGGTATGTGCCTTCAGGCAAGACAGCCCTGGAACGGATTGGAGCTGAGACCGTGTAGCGTATTTTGTACTCCGTGTGGTAGCAGTTGTTAACTGCTGTTACTACCGGGAATGCCCTTCAAGACCATCTACTTTACCTGTGGGTCCTCTGTCAGCAGAAGGTTTTTATGAAAGCCCTTGGGCGTCGGCATACCCTCACGAAGGCTCTGTTGCTTATTAAGTGCTGTAGTTTGCAGTCAGAAATGCTAGTGAGTGCCTCCTCCGTGCCCAGCACCGCGAAGCAGCCTCACTACAAGTTACTCTCTGGGGGGGGTACCTGGGTGGCTCAGGAGGTTAAGTGTCCGACTTTAGCTCAGGTCACGATCTCACGGTTCGTGAGTTCCGGGCTCACTGCTGTCCGCACAGAGCCCGCTTGGGATCCTCTGTCCCCCTCCGTCTGTCCTTCCCCTGCTCATTCTCTTTCTTTCTCTCAAAATAATAAACTTAAAAAAAACCCCAAAAGAGAGCTTTTACCTCACTTTCACGTGATGCCCTCTGTTAGTCCAGCAAAGTGGGACTCCGTGCTCAAGCCCAGCTAGTTGCCGACTCACGCTGAAATGATGAGCGAGGACCCTTATCAGGCTGTGGCAGCTTGGGGTGTCTTGGCCAGGCTGGGATGGCGTGGGGTGTGTGGGGCGTTGGAGGGGCAGGGGCAGGGGCAGTAGGAGAGCCCGAGAGTCCGTTCTGATCTCTGATTGCCGTGGCTCCTGGTGTTACGGGGCTGGAGCTGGAGATGGGTGCCAGCTTCCCAGATTCCAGGTGGGGATTCAGAATGCATTTTCCACAATATGAGTCTTTTAGTTCAAGGATCTAAGGATCCTTTTTGTCTTTTGGCAACAATTTCCTTATGAAAGTGTGAGCACTCATCAGTAAGGAAGAGTGAAAAACCACTTTAAGCCCTAAATGCCTTCAGGGCTGAAGAGAAGTCTGAGGGCTGTGTTGAGACCCCCACCTTCATTGTTGTGGAAATGCCTCTGGGAGTTAAAACAAAAGCAAAAAACGAACCTTGAGAATAGATTGTTGACACCCTTTAATTTTCTGGATCTTAGATTTCAGATTTGCACCCTTTTCCTTTTTTAAAAGAATGGTATAATTCCTCCAAGAAAACCATGGTTTAGTCAGCAAAGTCTGGACTAGGATTTTGGTGGCCTCATGAAATAACTGAAGGAAAATTTTTGTTTTTTCTTAATGTCCAGAAGTGAGGTTGGGTTGTTCCTCCCCTCAAGTGCTAGGTTTCCTCAGTGAGGTCAGCTTTCCCAACAGCTTAAAACACCTTCACCTGAGGTTTTGGATCTCTTGTCATCCCCGGGTGTGTCGTCTGTTCCCCTCCAGCCTTAGAGCTGTGGCGTAAGGGCTTCCACATCCACAGAGAACTGGCTGGACAGTGAGGCTCACAGCGTGACTCTCCCTGGGCCTGGGAGCAGTTGTGTTAAGGAGTCGAGGCACCGACTCTCCTCTCCAGCACCGGGCGCTGGCACTTACGGAGGGGAGGGCCACAAGGAGATCACTCTCCAGACGAATGTTTTCCTCTCAGGCTTCACTGAATTTTGAAGCGTACTCTGACAAGTTGGACTCTTGCCCGAGGAGGCTGAGGAGCAGGTGAACCTATTCGGATCCCTGATAGGTTGTGTCCGCAAGACTGGCTCATTCTCTCAAGAGTCGACTCACATTAGCCAAACTTGCAGGGAATGATGTACAATCAGATGCAGTTCATCCATCAGTAGGGAGAAGCTGGAAGGCCCAGATCTGATGCTCAGGTACTTCATTCCTCTGGCCTTCTCAACTTGGGGAGCTGGAGTCTGCCCTGATGGTGGCCTGCTGAGTCAGAGAAGGGGGGACTGGTTGGGCACTTCAGCTGTTCAGTGGCTTAATGTGTCCCAGACCTGGTGAGGGAAAGGTCTCGACCGGGGTAAGCCTTTACTTGGAGAGACGCTGTCACCTGCTGGTCTTTCCGTGGTCCTTTTTCTCCTTTTCAGCTTGTGGTTTAACAGGGTGCTGTGCTAGTTGTGTCACATGGTAGTTGATGGTGAGAGCGAAGAAGAGAACGTGATCTTCTGAGATACTTACATGTTTTGTACTTGCCTCCTAACCAGTAGCCAGCAGATGACTTTCTTGCAGCTTCGAGATGCTACTTAACGAAGGCTCCTCTCCCTGTCTCTCCAGTTCCCTGTAAGACACAGACACAGGACTCTCTAGGAAACAACAGCGTGACCTGCAGCCATTGTCACCGTCCCTCACACACTGCCCCACGTGTAGACCCAGGGACTCCCCTTGTGAGGGCTTGTCGGGTCTGCAGAATTCCTTCTCCCCCAGTGGGGGCCGGGAGGGAAGAGAGTCCATGGGGGACCTTTGCGTGCCCTGCACACGATCGAGAATCTCCCCACCCAGCCACAGGGTGGGGGGTGAGGCTGAGGGTATTTCGCTGATGGAAGTCTCCATGGGGAAACGCAGCCCCCGAATGGAGTCCACCTGCCAAGAGCTGTGAGGGCCGCAGCCGCGGAGGGGCCTCCGGAGGGGAGATGCTGGCGGGGCTGGGTCGGGAGCATAGTGTAGCGACAGGGCTTCTGCTCTGCTGCTTTGGCCGTCAGAGAAAGAAGGAAGGCTTGTCCTGCCCTTGGCTGGTGTC